TTGGAAGGTTTCAGGGAGGGTGGGAGTGTTAAAAGTTAGGCAGACAGACAGACTTTTCTCCAATTTACCATCTTTTCTGCGCATTAGACGCTTGACTTCTAGGATACATTGTTTCTTGCAATCTTCCAGAATTTCTTTGTCATCTAGTTCAGTGGGGATTCCAGTTATGACACCTTTACTCTGGGTTTATGATTTTGCATATTCGGTAGTTATAGTCCATTGATCAAGTTGCGACATGGCTTTGAGTTTTTTGGCCTGGGCTGACGTATGACATCTTACAATAATGCTCCCTGGATTGTTTTTGGTGACGCTTTTCACGAAGTTGCGACCTAGGATGTTCAAGGCTTTAGTAATTTTAATCGGGCTAACCTTAGCAAGTTTGATATCAGGGGAATTAATGATGACCAGTGTAGGTTGACTCTTGATGTTTGAGTTCTGAATGAGACGGCGTTTAGGTTGGGAGTTTTGTGGAGGGTCATTATCTGAGTCTGTGTAGACGTCACTGTATGTTATGTGCTGTCATTTACGGCTTTTTGGTTGAGACTGTGTTTCATTTTGGGCTTGACTCATTAATCTATCTAGGGTTGATCGTGATCTGTCATCATTCTCTTGAAGATTGTCATAAGGCCTTTGATTAGATTGTGATAATTGATCCCATGAGGTGTCTGATTCCATCTCATCTTCCATCTTGGGGTGGAATCAGCCTAAAGCGGCCTAGAAAAGGGGGAAAGCTTAAAGTTTAAAACCTCCTGATAATGAGATATTGCTTACCAGTTGAAGTAGCAACACAAGAATCTTAAAAAAAAAAAAAAAATCAAGTATGCCAAACGAAGGCAGTCACTGGCTGACGGAGATTCAAATTTTCGCGCGCTCTCGAACATCCAATCCTACGTCCGGTCATGGCAAAATCTTCGCGGGTCTCCACCCTCTGCTGGACCTGGGCTTTCTACGCCTTATATAGCCCACTCCTAACACAAAGGAGACTATTTAGAATAAATTAGTGAAACCCAAAAGGAACACCAGGGAGGTTATAGGTAACTCTGATTCTGCAAGGCTACAAGTGTATGTGGGTCTAGGTGGGGCATTCATGCCTATTGTGCTTCCACACACACTACATACAGTTCCATTGAATTCTTCACACACGTTACAGCAGGAAATTAAGCTGGCATGAGATACAAGTTCCAAATAATTAATCTTGTACAATAAGAAACAAACTTTTGCAAAATTTAACAGTATAGTTGGGACTGTTGACATGTGGCAAACTTCCAGTGTCTGAGGACCTCTGGTACCAATACAAGGGACTAACCAGTTGTTATCTCCTTACCAACTGCATTAAAGGGCATCTGTTTTGCTAGTGCCAGGGCATTAGTATTTGGAATTGAATCTAGTAAATTTTTCATTGGTTTCATCTGCAAATGATCAATTACATGCAGTCTTCATATGCTGTTGAAAACTTAGAAGAGGGACATAATTTTTTTGATGTACACAACATGCAATACACTTGCAATTCAACCCTTGTTGTGACAGTGCTGCAAATTTTTATACACAAATTTCCATGTTAACTCATGGTGGTATTTTCATATTTCCTTTTTAAAACAAAACTCTGGATTAGGATCCATGGTTCATTCCCTAGAACAAAATGTTGGGAATATATTCCCCTCTCCCTGAGATCTGAAGGCAGATCTGAATTTTTCCCCAAATAAAGAGTGTTTTCATTTTCTGTCTTTTCAGGGTAGTTTTGTCAGTCATTCAATATGGATAAAATTCTGCTTGGTATTGCTGCCTCAACCCACTCAGAGGCAGTCAAGAGAGCTATCATTGATAGAATCATCAACTCTGCTAGCAAAGCCCCTCCTGAAGACCTTGTCATAGCCATCCTGGACATCTCATCCCGATGGGTGACGGAGAGTGACTCAGACTTCATGCAGCAGATGGGAAGACAGCTGTTTCATGCCTGGGCCAAACACAACCAGACAATCTTTGAGGAGTTCTTCAACCACCAGTTCTTGGTGGGCATTCTTAGGATGGACATCCCACATCCAGACAGAACCGTCTGCTTTGTCCATGAGTGCCTGAAGATGCTGCAGAACCGGGCCACAGCAGCCAAAATCATCCAGATGCAAGCAGTGGCGCTTATCAGAAAGCACAGGGACCTGCTGACATTAGTGGAAGTCAGCCATCTCCTCTTGGCCTTCCCAGACTGTCTCCCTAAAGGGACTGCCGCTGCCTCATTGTGCATTGCGGCTGTGGAGAATGTCAGCGCACTCCAAGTTGCACCATCGGAAGCTGCCATGAAGGCTAACCTGGAAGGCATGATACACATCAGTGCTATGCTACACCACATCTGGCATGACAACATGGTGACTGTCCTGCCATCACTGGCAGCGGTCTTTAATCTCATCTCAGCGCTGCCCTCTAGTGACCGGCCAAACCCTTCAGTCGCCCTCGGCGCCCTGGTACAACATGTCCCTGTCGAACTCATTGCTACAGTCACCAAGAATGCAGCCTCAGATGTGTCCATTGTGGATGAGCGCATGACCACTGCTCTCAGCAGAATGATCGATTGGCTGTCCTGGCCTCGTATCCTGAACATTGACCGATGGATTGTGTCTTTCCTGAAAAATCTGGCATTAGCACAGAAGTTCACCATGTTGATCAATGTTACACTTGCTTCAATTGAAAAGGTACAATGTAAAAATGGAATGCTGATGGAAAAACTGAGAATTCCGAGAAACTTAGTTTCATTTCTAATATTACATGTATAAAGCCAATTTGCTTTTATCTTACAGTGGAAGAAACTCTTGGAACACCAGTCACACAAATGATTTATGAATGTATTTGAATAGTCGCATTGTTAATACAAGTAGCAGAATCACAATGTAGACCTGTACTTGAGCAGACAGTTGAACCATTCTGTTCAAACTCTATCAAAGATGCTTCAGCCCTGTTTTATCAACAAAAATCCTTGCAAGAATAATACTTCATGGGTATTTGTCTTGTTGCTGTCCATTTTGTAGAAAACATGACAGTTCTTTTGTGACAAAGTAATTCTGAGTGTTTGCTGGTGCCTCACAAACAGAACACAAGAAAACTGACCTTTTGAAACTTTTACCAACAAAACGATTCCATCCTTCCTTAAACCTTAGTAATCATTTCTCTATCGTTACCATTACCCCCGACAATTGAACTTCCCTTGCTCAGGTGTTTGTGAAGCTGTGTTTCCCTATTGTCAGGGACAGCGCTTTACCTGTTCTCACCCACATGCAGTTGAGTTTTCAACACTCGCCAGAAGCCTTTCACAAGGTAAGTCATAGAATCAAGAGCACAGGGGCTATCTGCCTTGTGCATAAGCACCTTCTTGTCGGTTTAAAAGAGCTACATGTACGTGTATCTTGGTAGGGAGTGCTCATTTGGTTAGTATTCACAGAACCGTATCGCATGCATTTCATAGTTACTACCAAAGGAGCCTCCATTGTGAGGAAATTGTGCCCTCTCTTGGTCCCGCTGTGGGTGGTTTGTCAAGGAATTGTTTATATTTGTTATTTGCTTGAAGGTAGAACCCTTCATTCGCAGCTATCAAAAAGAAGTAAGGTGGAAAGCTTGCGGTAGCACAATGCAAGGATACGATCTCTTTGTGAGTCTGTACGAGGATACAGCAGGTGGATCCACCTGGGAACTGATGCATGTCAGTAGGTGATGGGCTGTGGCGGGGGAAGGTTGCCTGGGTATAGGAGACCCATGGGTGGGGAGGGCCTAGGGTATAGAGGACCCATCAGACCGGGAGGTGAGTAGGGGCTGCCAGATGTCGCTGATGGAGAAGCCGATGTCTTGAGGCACGGTGGGGTGTTTGGAGATTTCCAAGGCTTCTCTAATGTGTCTTGGGTACCACTGTTCAATGTTGGCGATGAGGTGGGCTTCTTCCCAGTTGATGGAGTGGTCTTCGGCGTGGGAATGCTTGATGATGGCTGACTTCTCATAGTCCCCCTTCCTGCCATGGGCTTTGCGTTCTTTGATCCTGGTAGGGAGGTCCCTACCAGTCTCTCCGATGTACACTTTGCCACACTGGCAGGGGATCTTGTATACACCAGGTCAGCGGTGTGGATCTTGCCCGTCCTTATGGGAAGTCAGCATCCCGTGGATCTTAAGGGGAGCTGTGTGGAACACCTTGATGTTGTGCTTGCTCAGGATACACTGGATGTAGTGGGAGGTATGTCCTAGGTAGGGGAGAGTGACAGAACTGGGGGCCTTATCTAGTTGGCTTTGGGTATAGGGGACCCTACAGCCGGGAGGGGGACTTGATCTTGGGTCTTGAGTCTTGATCTGCTTGGGCTGGTATCCGTTGCATTGGAGTGCCGTGGAAATGTGGTGGAGTTCCTTGTGTAGGGCTCTTGCTCGTGTAGGTGCTCCATGTCGGCATCTCTTTAGTCTCCTGACGACGGGCAGAGCATACTGTCCGAAACGTTGAGTTCCTCATGGTTCTTTTCAGAACCATACAGACTCACAAAGAGATCGTATCCTTGCATGGTGCTACTGCAAGCTTTCCACCTTAGTTGTCTGTCACCATAAATAGCTTGAAATCCCAAAAAGAAATAACTGAGGAAATTATTATCGAAAAGTATGCTTGGTTTAAAGATAGTAATGGAACTAAACTCCCTGTGAAATGATCTTTTTTGGGCATGCTGTCGTTTTGAAGAAAAAAAAAGGAAAGTAGGTCATTTCCAATAATGTATTTCTGGAAAATTGCTATTAGCAGTTTTGTTTTTAATAGAGCCTGTGAGTAAAAAATTATGCAGCGAGCTTCCGCAACCCTCGTACGGTCTGCCTGTGGGGACTTTTACATAGGACCATAGTATCACGTTCAAGAATTTTTGGGAGGATTATTCCTAACTAAAACCACCCTAAGAAACACTGACATCAGGATTTTACCTTTGTGTTTAATAATATGTTTGATAAGTCACCTGGAGAAAGGCAAAGAAAGAATTTCATTAACGACCTTTCACTTCCAGCAGTATCGTTCCTAAGTCTTGTTGTTCATGCACATTTGTTTTCACTTTATGTGCTTACTTGACAATGAGATTGTACATTGCAAAGATTTACTTGATGGATTCTGGAGTCAGTTGATTTGACCTGATTGTTCTTGTCAACAGAGATTACAGTAGACTCTGCTTTGGAATCTTTCATAAATGCAGATTATTCCTTTAAATATATTTCCTTATAAATTGGAAAATGCTTAAAATATTTCATACATTTTAAGTTTCGCTTGAAGGAAAGATTACATGTACCATAAAACAAAAATGTTGAACTAAACTGGTCTTCATGTATTATAGATTTTCAGAGGTTACAGGTTAATTTTTAGCAGAATATTTCTCTTTCAGGTCAGGTAATTTTTCCATTTTGTATAAATTATCATGCTAGCTAATATTTTACAAAAGCCTTTTTCCGTGATGAGTTTTTAGAAGTAATCAAATGAAAAAATTGCAAAATCGTAAATTTTTGCATGTTATTACTTCTATCCTATCCATGAGTTCTGGAAATATGCCATCAGGGGTCAACTTTCAGGATCTATTTGGGGAAGCTCAGACAAGTGTTGACAGGATGCACAGGCGTGCACAATTACTATAATTCTTCAGTTCAGTGTCAGACATCACATACATGTAGCTACAACTGCCTGAATGTGAACATGCACAGGACGCTGAATTTGGGCACAATTCAAAACATGACTCGGCAATTCTTGATTTGAATTAAATATCCTAGAATATTGTTTTACTGAATATACACTGATTACTGAGTGACTTTTTGTTGCCTCTAATGAATGTAATGCACGATGGCAAACAGGGTTTGACAGACTGTACCTTTAACACAGAAACTGTTCATTTCAGCAACTGTCATTCGTTCTTCATTTCAAATGCATGAATTTGCTTTCCTTCCCAGATTGTAGCTCATGTACCTGAACTGATGAAGAGACTGAAGTCAGAGAACACTCCCTCCAGTCAAGACTGCTCCCAGAAGGTAGCTGAGCTTGTCTACTGTCTGATGTATCACCACGCTGGCTACCCGGACCTGTATGAGCCTGTCTTGGATGCCCTCAAGGTTAGTTTTAGGGAAACCAAACATAGCATGCATTCTTGATATGGAATTGCAGAACCTTGGGTGATGGTGGCTTAGTTGTGTGTACAGTCCTGCACAACTGGTGTTGAATTTCAATGTGCTTAGGATGGTTATTGCGAATGTCTTATTCCAAGTATTTCTTTTGTAAATGCCACACTTAAAATTCTTTAAAAGCCAAAAAGAGCTTACATTTTAGAAAAAGTACTTGCTTTTAATTTTCTGTCTTCACTGCCAGTGTATTTCCCACTTTAAAATTTGCAGCTACAGAAGTTTAAAAGTGACTTTCTTTCATGTACGTGTATATTTGTGCATTCAGCTTGACCATATTTTTTCTTTTTCATGGTTGAAGGTGGTAGTCTTTCCCAATAGTGCACTTTCAGAGGAATTGTTACAAATTGAAGTATTTGTTTGCTTTAAATTACTGCATGCTTGTTTTCTACCTTTTCTTCATGCTTAGGCTAGTTTTCAATTTTGACTTGTCAGAAAAGGTATATTACCTTCAACATGTTGGTTATTTGACTTGTAGAGTTGTTTCATGTCGTTTTCACTTTTGAACCAGGACATTCCTCGTCCCAGTGAGGAGGCCATGAGGGAGACCCTCAAGCTAAGTGCTTGGACGTCTGGAGCCCCGGTCAACTCAGCTTTCTCAACCAGGTTCCTGCTGCGGTCAGAGACAGGCAAGACAGGACTGGTCAATCTGGGGAATACCTGCTACATGAACAGTGTGCTTCAAGCATTGCTCATGACTAGTGGGTGAGTGAAATAATAGCTCCAATCAATTAATCACTCCAGGGAATAAATGTTATGTGAGCAGTGTCCCACAAGTTACAGGGTTTGAGTCAGCAAGTGAGCAAGTCCCTTTACCAGTCTGAGCTGTAGTGAGGTCCACCAGGGGAATTGATGGTTTTTCATTTTGAAGACTGTCAAACAATCTCTGCATTGTTTTTTCAACGTTATGATATAAGGTACTATAAGAAAGTGGCACCAGTTGTGTAGGTTTCATTGTTATTCTGTCAATGTTTATATTACACCACCTGTACGTTTGGAATTTTCAGGTTTTATGAGGATATCATGGCATGTCCTGTCTACAATGACCAGTGTGTAGTTGCTCGGCTTCAGACGGTATTTGCTTTCCTCACACACACACAGGTAGCGTTAGAACCTAGTTCCTTTCAGAAGTTGTCTTCTCACCTATCTGAGACAAACTTTTTATAGAGCTGTTCAATTGTTGGCAGAAATAAGTGCGTAACCTCACAGAGATCAGTTGTGGTAAAAACATGTTTCAGAATAAGTCAGATTTATTTTGTCCTAAAAAAGAATGATTAATGTTTATGTCAGCACATAGGAAAGTAAAATGAAATGATGAAATCGGAAATAGTGAAATCAGTCCCTTGAGTTTTGTTATTTTTGAAACACATCCCAGCCAAAAAAGAAAGGCATTTCTTACAGTTTTCTTGCGTGAAAACTCAGCCACATTCACAAATTTGGATGGGAAATACAGTTTTAACACAACAGGAATAAGTGGAGGGTTCATGGTGGGATTTTTGCATTTCTACAGAGAGCTGCCTACTCACCCAGGGAGTTCCTGATTGCCTCCCGACCCCCATGGTTCTCACCAGGCACCCAGCAGGACTGTTCCGAATTTCTCAAGTATCTCTTGGACAGGCTGGATGAAGAGGAAAAATCCATTCGAAAATTCGAGGCCCAGTTGCAGCGGACTAGGGAATGGGTGGAACACATGAAGAGGAAGAATGCCAAGAAGTTGGGGAGGGAAACTGGCAGGATTGCCTCAGAGGAGGAAGGTGATGAAGGTGGACCACAGATTGGAGACCAGAAGGGGATAGACATATGCAGTAGATTAGATGTAGACTCATCAATTAAGATGGATACGTCATCAAATGAGATTGCAAATAAGGAAGAAGTAAGGCCAATTGAACAGAAGGAGAAAAATGAGCAAAATAGGAAAATCGCGTCAGGAGAGCAGACGCAGAATGAAAGATGCAATGAGGTCACTATGGAGACATCTGTCAGTTCTCCCACAAGGAACACATTGACTGTTTCATTGTCTGAGGTCACTCGCTCTGAGCAGGGACATCCAATATGCTTTCCGACGGCACAGGATAACTCTGCTGTAACTGAATTGATGACAGTCAGTGGGTTTAATATGCAGTGTGACCAGGCTTCAAGTAATGTCAAGATAAAGTTACCTGTCACAGAAACCAAGAAAACAATGCCTGAATCACCCATTGGTCCATCAATAGTGGAGCAGTATTTCTCTGGCAAGTCTGTGACTCGCATCCGCTGCTTGACATGTAACAGCATATCAAGCAGGACTGAAGCGTTCTTTGATCTTCCCCTTGCCTTCCCTGGATCTGATACTACCAGTAGCATGCGGGGAGGAGAGAGTTGCACCAGCAAAGATGAAGCTGGTAAGTCCTTGGGGTTGGCAGCTGACAGGCTAGCCCAGGAGGAGATAACATCTGGCAGTAAGCAGTGGGAATTGAACGGTGGGGCTGCCGCATCCACCTCAGCTATCAAGGACTTTGTGACTAGTCCAGGACAGAGTGGCGAAGGTAGGGACTCTTCTGATGCCTCTCCCAGCAGTCTTGAAGAGCTCCTAGTTCACTATTTAACCCCTGAGCTTCTGACAGGTGACAACCAGTATCACTGTGGGAAATGCCAATGCCTTCGAGATGCTGAGAAGCGCATAGAGATATCAAAGGCTCCCAAAGTTCTAATGCTAACACTCATGCGCTTCTCCTACGATGTTAAAACTCAAAGTCGATGCAAAATCTTAGCTGATGTTTGGTTCCCTAAGATCCTAGACCTGGCTTTGCATCATCCAGAAAGAGAGGCCGGAGGTGACACTGAAGAAGATAAACCAGATGAGCAGGACTTGTGCCAAGATCCCCCTCGCTCAAAACGACTGAGACAAAACAGTGAGAACGTAGCTGCCTCTGAAAGCAACAGAGAATTGAAATACCGGTATGTACTGTATGGTGTCATTGTTCACTCTGGTCTGTCATCTGAGAGTGGACATTACTACTGCTACGCAAGGCACTCAAACTTTCCACATGATGTGCACAAAAAGTCCGAGTCGAAGCTTAAAAAAGAACATGAATCTGGCGATGCCAAAGAGCAGGATGGAGCTCAAGACCTTTTGCCTGATCAGTGGTTTCTTTTCAACGACAGTCGGGTTTCAAACTCATCATACGACTCATTTGGTAATGTCACCAAACGCTTCCCCAAGGACACTGCTTATGTTCTGTTCTACAGGCAAGTGCCTTGGGAGAGTGAAGAATGGTCTGGGTGCCAGACAGCAAATGAAAAGCCCCGACATGACCTACATGTACGTGAGATGGCTTTGAAGAAGAATCTCCAAGAAGCTGTCACTAAGGATAATGCTATTTACCTGAAGGTAAGGATTGATAACCTACTTCGGCAAAGACAGACACTAAGTGGCAAAATCAAATTAAAATTGTTTGAACTATTTTGATATGTGTAGCATAAGCATTTTATGTGATGTGTCCTGGAAGAAAATTGACTGAAAATTTCACATATTGATTAAATTGAGGTAGAGTTGTGCATATGAAAACATTGAGCTTGGTGTTGCCAAGTCACATGACGATAATTTTCAGTTGGTGAGGGGTTCTTTGGAGGGGAAATCCTTGAGAAATTCTTTCTGGGTAGGATGTGTACAGCAGCAGTTGTTCCATTGTAAAAATTTTTAGAGTAGCGCATACCATATAGCAATGCGCATGTTCGGTTGAGAGGTCGAAATAGCCTGTTTTGTAGCTCACTATGCCCTATACAAGTGCGCACAACCAGCCGTGTACAGAAAGGGCCATATCAGCGGTCCAAACGAGATTTTCTTTACTGTCCAAAAAGCTGGTTACCGCTTTTTTCATTAGGTTATCACGTCAGGGGAGGGATACCAGTGAAGCACAGTAACGCAGCGCATTTTCGCATGTTGATAGAAAATGTTCAGAGCAGGAAAAAAGAAAATAATTTTGCTCGGATGAAACTGCACAAATGGAATTGTATGCAGTCATAGGTATTTTGTCATTTACTTGAAATGTTGAAGGAATCCATTGCAGATTTTTTTTAACAAATGGTATAATCAAGCAGAGTTTTTTTATTAGGTTTTATAGAGAATCATATTATACAGTGTCTGTAGTGTCAGTGTACAGTAATGACATGAATATTGTCAACTGTCATAGCAAGGTTCTTTGGAAATGTTTGTTTGTCCTTTTGCAACTTTATTAAATTGCCTTTGTTTACTTTTTCTTATCGCAATTAGGAGCGGGAGTTGGAGGCGAGGATGATGGCTCTACGAACTTCTCAGGGCTTGGAGAGTTTCTCCTCAAACCAGAGGGATTTTGATGATAGGAACGACCCACCAAGTGGCTGCGGGGGTGGAGGTGGGGGAATGGAACCACCTAGACTGGTTTTCTGATTACGACTGTTGCTTGTGGTGGTTAAAAATATACACAGATCTGCTCTCTGTGGAAAAAGTAACGAAACAGTTACCTGAATATATGCAGATGTCTAGGTCATCATTAGCGTAAGTGGGATATAAAACATGTTTCTTTTGTGTCCAGTCCACCTGCTCCAATCTTTAGTCAAATATTTGGTTGCTTCAGAACACTCAATTTTCTGTTAACATGCAGGCTTTAACACGTTGACTGCCGACTACGAGTATAATCACAAATGTGCGGGATTCTGCCACTAAGAGTATGCTCGTTAGAAATGAAAATCTGTTGTAATGTAAACTTAATACACTGGCATCACTGAAAAACACGAATACACTGCTGGCAGTGTTAAGGACATATGTCTGCATAATGCTCATGTTCAAATGGAAATGTGAAAGGTACCGCATATTAAATATGCGTGGGCATGCGTACAACGCTTGGCAAATGGGAACGCCACTTTGAATTTTATGCAAAGCAGTCAACGTGTTCATGGAACTTTGTTATTCTTTACAGCAAAATGTGACCCGGTACATCATAATCAGGAATAAGTCGTTGAGGCCATACTACGTATTGGCTGAGTAAAGTGGGGATATGGGTAAATGTTGAAAACAAATCGATGTGGCAGTTTCTGCATATTTCGCAAGTGTATGTATGAAAGGTTACCATCAACACACTTGTAATGTGTACCATTTTAAAGCTTATGAAATTCTCCTTCTGACCATGTACATATCTCCAAAAGTCAATTTGCCACTTATTCCTGATTTCGATGTACCATGTCACAAATCACATCTTTTGGGGGAAAAAATGGTTACTTAAGGAAATAAGACAGAGCTGAGACACCTAGCAAGTAGAGACCAGCATCCCTCTTGTGTTTTTAAGGTTATTAAGAAAATGTCAAGAGGCATTTTGATTCCACGCGGAAAATATCGGGCAGACAGTACATTGGCAGTTGATGATGATAATGGAACTCCATCCCACATATACAAATTGTTTTGGCAATTTTTTTGCTGTCGTAAGAAAAACTTGCCTGCCATCAATTTAACAACCCTCCCATTTCTATCAAAATCAATCAAATTAAGGACTGACTGCAGGATTCCAAGAGAGGTTAGACACTATCACTCTGCATGGGGACTTCATGCCGCTTGAAATTCTGATCTATGAAGAACAAATATGGATTTTTGCAGATGAGATTGTTGGAGAATTCAGAATGGTTTCTAGCCGAATATACCGAGTGAATGAGAGGCTTCTAAGTTTTAATCCACAAATGGACATGATACCACTGTGAATATTTATATGAGTTACCTTCTTAATATTGTAGGCCCCAAAATGAATTTTTGCAGCATGTAATTAGGATGAAGTTACTCCAGATATCTTGCTTTGAATAAGATTATAACTATTGCATATTTATCAGTTGTTTTCCCTACACATGTTGGGTGTTAATGACTGTCACAATGTCCTAAATGTCTTCTTTACTTTAAAGAATCTCAATTATTCCTGGTTGGTCATTTGGCATTTAAAGTAACACTCCACACATCTCAAGTTCAAGCTAACCAAAGGGAAGAGTGGAGAAAACAGCTGACATGCTTTTATTAATAAATGGAGTACATTAACAGAGCTGATTTGTAGTTATTAAGGTGGTCTTTTTGTCTCCAGGTTATACTCAAGAAGTTCCACATTTTCATTAATGCATTTCAGAACTGAGTTAACACAAAGATCTGTCTCAGTTACAACAAAATAATCCAAGGTCAGGTCATATAAAGAAGACTTGTAATATATCTGTTATTTTTAGATAAGACATTCCAACTTGCGGATTGTTACTTGCAAATTAAATGTTCTGTAATAGTAAATTCTTTATCAGTCTTCTTGTCTTTGTGCAGAGTACACAAGGTTTACATTTTTGGGCATGACATGAAACAAGCTTTAAAAAGAAATTTTGAACAAACTACTTGGTCTATCATATCGGAATAAAAAATGTGAATACTTCAATCTATCTGTCCATAGCAAGTGGCAATACATGACTTGCTATCAAGCTAAAATCTTCAAAGTCAGGGGATTAAAAATTGAGTGAAGCTGGAGACTGAGTGTAGTATTGAAACTGCCATTAAATGTCGTCTTGATACATTGCATACATGTAATCCTGCACCAGTTTGCCGTGGAGGTTACATGTATGGTTTCCCTCTTCTGCCGTTTTCTGTCATTGGTGTTCTCTCTGTAGGGACTGCCATTGTCTGCTCTGCTGCTATCCTGTAGTCACCCAGTCATCAAATGACTCCCGTTTCAGAACAACACAACCTGATGAATCACATCACAAATGAACTTTTTACTCTTTAAAAACTTTGACAGAATCTTATGATCTGAGCTGGGCCCAATTTCATGGCGCTGCTTACCGCAGAATTCCAAACTTACGATCTCCATTCTGCGCTAACCGCACTAGCAGAAAAATTCTGCACCAACCCTTTAAGCACAGAATCCTTAGTTACGGGATGTACACATATGCACAAGCCAAAATTCCTTGCTAACCTGTGAAATACATTCGCCGTAAGCACAGAAACAGAATTTTCGCTACAGTAAGTGCCAATTTTTCACTTGCGGTAAGCAGCACTATGAAATTGGGCCCTCAAAAGGAATTAGAAAGAAAATTTAATGTCACAGGCATTTGAGCTAAGGTTCCTACATGTTAAGTTATGCTAGTGAATAGGCTCAGTGATGTAACCAGGATTCTTCGGGGGCGAGTAGTAAGTGTATGTCACAGTGGGAGGGTCCAAATTTCTCTTTTTTTAAATTTTTTTTTCTTTGTTATTCTAACTTTCTGTGGCGACTGTGCCCCTTGTTTGGTCCAAAAACCTAGCATTATAAACAAAGGGAAGTTCTTACAAAGGATGCCACTGGGTCCTTGTAAAACCATCCCAGATATTCAATGACAGAGCAGAGAGGTGCATTGAAAACACACAGGATAATGGAAAAACAGCAATTAAACTTTCAACATGTTCAACTTATAAACATGTTAAGGCAGTCCACGAAATTAACCAATACCATGGAGGAAGGAAAATCTAAAGTTTTCAGGAAGCGAACAGGAAATAAATTTAGTCTAACTGCCCAACGGGGTATTGATAAATAAACTAAAACAGTGCTCACTTACCAATACAATGACTAAGTACCGATGAGCCTGCTACTCAGTCAATGTTAGTATATATAACGCTTGCTATTCCGGCGTTTGAGCCTTTTGGTTAGACGAATAATTTCAAAACTCAACTTTTCCCAACAACCTGGATTTGAAGTGCATCCTGACAAGCAAAATATTTCATTCCTGATGTATCCAAGCTTCTTTATTCATGCTGGCTGAATAACAAGAAAAGAAGGATTTTCCTGGTATTCTACGAACTCCAACTTAGCCCCATGGTCCGAAAGACATGAAAGGAACAAAACGCCCCCACAAGTTAAACTTAATCCAGTGTTGCGACCGTTACAAAAATACCATTTGAACCGCCAAAATGCTGTCATTTTTCCTCAGCAGTCCTTCGTTGAACCTATGCACAATGTAACAGAAATGGGAAACAATGATATGGCATTTTCTATAGTAAGCGCACGCTACATGCATTGTGCACAATACGCATGTTCCATGTAAACACTGAAATAGCCTATTTTGTAGCTCGCTGTGCCCTATACATGAGTGCACCTTGCACTGTCGATGGGAAACACTGATATGCCTATGTTTGTAGAGTAGCGCATACCATATGGTTGTACGTAATGCGCATGTTCGGTGGAAACGCCGAAACGGCCTGTTTTGTAGCTCGCTATGTCCTATACATGTGTGCACAATGCGCCGTCAATGGGAAACACTGATATGCCCATGTTTGTAGTGTAGCGCACACCATATAGTTGTACGTAATGCGCATGTTCGGTGGAAACGCCGAAACGGCCTATTTTGTAGCTCGCTATGCCCTATACACGTGTGCACAACCAGCCGTGTACAGAAAGGGCCATATCGGCGGTCCAAACGAGATTTTCTTTACGGTCCAAAAAGCTGGTTACCGCTTTTTTCATTAGGTTATCACGTCAGGGGCGGGATACCAGTGAAGTACAGTAACGCCGCGCATTTTCGCATGTTATTGAAAGAAATTGTTCAGTGCAGGAAAAAAGGAAATAATTTTGCTCGGATGAAACTGCATATATGGAATTGTATGCAGTCATAGGCATTTTGTCATTTACTTGAAATGTTGAAGGAATCCATCGCAAATTTTTTTTAACGAATGGTATTATGAAGATTTTTTTTTTAAATTTGGTTTAATTATTATACAGTGTCTGTAATAGGAAAGTGCTTGGAGGGTTTCCGTTTAAATTGTGCTTTAAGCAACACATTCGCAGTTTATACACAAGGCAAATAAATATCAGTTGCACAACTCTATAAATTGATCCACTTCTGGCAATGAAGTAATAATGCCTTTGATGTGTATGGAGCAGGACATTCCTCCCAAATAATCAGCTGCAGATCGAGGACAGGGATCTCTGCCCCTACAAAGGGGAAACACAATTTTGTTTTGAAACTTTGAAAGGAGAGGGTTTATTTCTCTTCTTCTCAAAGAGCATTTTAAAAAATTAACCTCAACAGTCAGAATTAATGGCCAAAAACGTAACATTATGAAATTCAAAATTTTTTCTCAAAAAAATTCAGTTCTCATCCTTCCCTTACCCCCAATAATATCTTATGTGTGCTGTGTAACATTAAACGTTCTATAGAAACACGTCCAGTGCATTAAAAGCAAATACACGCTGAACTGAAAAAAACAGACAAATGAACGGATGGACCATCAATTTAATCAACAAACAATCAAGTTCACAGCTGTTGCTTTTACTTCAATTTATTTTTAACCTGTATAATTATATAACATTCAATTAATTAAGGGAAAAACAGGTATGATATATATTTTGTGTATAATGTTGATTGGACTGTTAAATGAATTCCTCCTGTACATATATAGCCGTATCATGTCACAACAAAACTTACAACTGACTTCTCCATTTCAAATTCATTGACAAAACTCTAAAGTGAAGGCCCTTTTTGTGCTTGTGACTTGTGAGACTGTGACGGTTCTCAAAAATTTATAAAGCAGCGGGATTCTAATACTACATTCCTGAAAATAGAACACCACCGATTTCAACTTACAAATTTCCACATTATGTATATTGCACATCTATTGGGAGGAAAAAACATACAAAGCACAATAAAGTGGTCCAAATAAATAGCTGTCAAAAAATCTACGGTAATAAATAGTTCCTGCTGAATTCTAATGACTTAATGTTTCACTACAGCTGTCCTTTGTAGCACTTCATCTAAAAAACTCACCTCTGCTACAGAAAGTTAACTATTATATAACTATGAGGTAGTATTCATATGCCAGCTCCATAATTCGCTTGTCTTGCATTCACTAAGTGGACAACTGAAGGTTACTCCGATGCTATTTGTTACCATGAGAGATAAAACTCATCAAGAAAAAAGTATTTTAGAACACTCTTATACATTCAGAATACTGCCAATCGTAAAATGTACGGGAACAATTAGCTCTCTTTTGACTTTTTGAAATTTGTTTTTTATTTCACATTTTTAAAATTGCCACCAAATGTCTTGAAGATACAAGGCTGGATCAAGAGCCCGTTTTTTTTGGGGGGGGGGGACAAGTAGCATTAACTGATTGCACCAGTCACAATTAAGCGGCTGCTCAGAAACAATATCCTGAGAAAAATGGCTCTGTCCATACAAAACAGCCTCCATTTAAGCACTTGGATCCGCCCTTGTGTACGTAGATCTCACAGTTATAACAAACTACTGTTATAAAGAGCAAATTCTGGGAATCCCGATTTCTTGAATTCTTAAGTTTTCCTTATTTTTCCAGCCAAAGTCATGGTTATAGTGAAGTAATTTGTTTGGTCCCTTTTTTTGAACAAATATTCACTGTACATGAATATCTTGTAAAATGACCAATTTACTTAATCCTGCATCAAAGACGAAGTGGTTGACTATTTCTACTGGTAAGTAAGGTTTTTAAATACATGTACACCTATGGAGATATTACATTAAGTTTTTTGTAACTGTGATTTCAAACGGGAAATTGACAATAACGTTTCAGAGAATGCAGTCTTGAAACTATATGTATGTGGCAGTAATAAACACAGAGTGTATGCTTTGCTGGTTTGTGGGAATGATCAAGTTGGCAAACTGACGGACAGGATGGGAGGCATGTAGTCATCGTTGGTGACTGGCTGGAAGATGAAATTGTTAAGCCACCTGGCCATTGATTATTTCAGTCCTCCTGCCAAAATAAAAATACATATTTTGCAAATGATAACTAAACTGTTTTCTAAACACGTCAGTCAAGTGGTAAATAAAATGATCAAATGTTCAACAAATTATTACGAGATAAGAAGCAGCCACTACTGTATGTTCTGGAGATTTTTTAGTAATTATTGTTAAGGAATTATAGATCTTAATGAAGTCGTTTAGTGAGCTTAAATCAAATACTACCTAATTTCATGGCATTAAATCCTGCTATAACTTAGTATAAGTGATATCCCAGCCTATGGAAGGTGCTTGGATTCTACTCATGCCCGATCATGTCCAAATGTTTAAAAAGGCAATTTGTAGAGTCCCAATTTATGACTGGACCATATCACTAAAACTAAAGAACACAGTCAATCATGTTTACCACGGTTATAAAAGTAATTTAAGTAAATACCTTACTTAAAAAAAAACAAGGGTGTAAGTGGCCACTTGAAATTAAAGCTGAAAAAAGCTAGCAAAAAGCTGAAATGTAGAGTTCCCATACCATACTGTACAGACCGGGTGTGTACAAAAAAGCTGAAATTCAGGGTCAATATCTAAACAAAAAAGCTGCATTCTCACATCCCTGAAAAAAGGTATATTTCAACATACCTTCACGAGCTGTCTGTGCTGGCACTCCTAATATAAAACTGCATTCATACGGAACAATTTTTATCAGGATATTAAAGAAAAGCATAGCGACTTAATACGACGACTAGTAGTAGTACCATGGTACTGGGTGATTTTTGTAGTCTGGTTCCTTACCCAAATCCCTGACGACTCTTGATGAAAAATATGAATCATCGGGTCTGGTATCCAGACTATTATTTTTGTTGACAACTTCAGTTATCAACAATACATCTCTTGAGGGTGCTATATAAGAAAACTGGTCTGTACATTGTTATTGGGGGCGCTATTTGATTTGATGTTCTTTAAAAAAATTTCCTTGAGGGCGCTGCGCTACTTATCTTAAATAGCGCCCCCAAGAAAGAAAATCTCTTCGCATACGATTTTACAAGAGCGCCCTCAAGAAAGCACGTCTCTGCCGACTTCATGTTCCAATTTATTGAATTGCGCCCTCTTGGGAGAGTTCTTCTGGATTGATTGTTTGTTTGAAGTTCGAAATAGCGCCCTCAAGAGAACAAGTTTAATGACTACATGACTATCAGAATTGAAATAGCGCCCCCTAGAAAGTTTTTCATAGCTTTCCTTTGCAGACAAAAATCTTTAGTCCAGCAAGTTTGATAAAGATACACATTTGTGACTTTTTCAAAATCTGCAAAAATTGGAAAATTCAGTATATTGTAACTCGATAAATTATTTATTCCTTAGAAGTTCTCAATTATTACAGTAAAAACTGTGCAATGGCCCCCACCAAGGCTGATCTTCCAAGGAAGGCTATGTTAACCTAAATGCCAGAATCGATAAGTGCGAGATTCAAAATATCTTCACAAAACCTACCAAAATCATCAACTGAACACCAAACAACAGTCTCATCTTCAACATCCTTTTTTTAGCAGGACTCTAATGCACCAAATGCAATCTAGGAATATTCATATATGAAACATGAGTTATGTGAAATACTTATAGTACATTCCATAATATGAAATGGTGTGCTCTAGAGAAAAAAAACAAGGAAAAGGCAAAATAACCTTGGATTTGACATCTATGTGTCCTTTAATGTTTCAAATCACTTCTTAATAAACATTTTTACCTCCATAGTACATAAATGTACTTCTCAAAAATTATTTCAACCACAACTTTGTATGACAGATTTGGTTGGATGTTTGAGTGAAAGATAACACTTTGCAGCTAAGACTGTACAGCAAACACCAACATCTCTACATTACAAATACAAAAGCAAAATAGCATCCACCCATTACAGAAAGAATGATGAACTTGGTTTGAAGCTTCAAGCTAACATGGATCTCTCAATATTTTACAAGTTCTAAATATTGTAATATCAAACCATTTCACGATTCTGAACAAACAAATGTTTCTGTCTGAGAAAACAAATGTCTTTAAATATAAAATCTTTACATATATATGTATATATTTTTCATTTCATAACCTTTTTTTTCTTAGCTGAAAAAATATAAAAGGTTCTGTAGAAAGTTTTAATATCAGAGTTAGCATAAACAGACACAGTTTCAATGAAGCAATAGGCAATTTAAATAACATCCAATAGACCAAAGTACAATAGCCAAGTCTTGTTGTTTAGATAAAACATCTGAGTAATACTTGTCATCTGATTGGTGGATAATTGATCACACATTCATGAACATTCCATTCCACTTAGCTTTGCAGCATGGAATGGAACACTCTATCTGCAACCTTTGCAGAATAGTGTTGTGTATATACGGTGCTGTAAGGAAAACTTGTAATTAAAGTCAACAACTTCCCGATGCAAAGTACATCTTGACAAAATGAAGAAGCTGTTCCTCGAAGTACTTCAAAGTAAATTAACCTTATTTATCATTTTCAGTTTTGTCATTAGTGACAAGGACTAGCTTACAATATCAATTTGAAAATGTAATAAAATTTATAAAGTCAGTGGAAACATATTTGAAATGAAATAACTAGCCTCGACCCTACTTGTATAAAAATACATGCAGAATGCCCAAAACTGATATTGTGTGTTGGCAAATATGACAGTAAAAAATCCTCAATTTCAAACATTCATTAACAAGTCATCAACTAGGACCTTTTAATCATATTTCTTTTCTTTTGCTGACAAAAAATCTTGACTTCAAATATACTTTTTATATTAATGAATGAAAGTCATCTTTCCCAAAGCACAATGTACAATTTGGAGTATTCTGAATACAACCCTCAAGCCATCTTTTCTGTTTTCTCTAATTTACTCACAAACAGCTATAACTAACAGCATACAACATGGCAGTTAGAAATGTCTCTCTGACAGCAAAAGAAACACTCGTCATTAAGGTAATTTTACTTGTGTCTTCCAAAGAAAGTTTTCATCATCCACCAGTTCTCTTACTTTCGCAATGCCAGCAGTTGCTCAGCTAATGTCTTTACCTCCTCAGCCTTACTGGTTTTGCTCACCCAATCAGCTGGCAGAGATTCGACCCCCCTCTGTGCTCCCAGACAAGCCCCAAGGAATAGGAGTCGACCACAGTTGTCTCCGGTAGCAACCATGGTTGGACGTAGAGAAGAGGCAAAATCATCAGTGGCATTCACTAGCCCATGAAGGCTGTTTTGCAAGCAGCCCGGGATTGCTAAATTGTAACAAGAAAAAAAAAGAACAAAAACTTACGTCTAATATCTCGAGCAGTTCAAGGTAACAATGATAATCCCCAATAAGTTGCATCAATATAACAAAGGAATCAGGAATAAAGCTGGAAATTTCAAAGACAGAATGTAATTCTGGTGTCTTCTGAGCTTTCTTGAAACAAACACAGACTTTATGCAGATACTGTTAAAAACATGACATGATGTTTAAAGAAATGAAAGTTACTGGAAAGAATTGCAAGAAGGAAAGGTATCTTCTCAACTGCCACCAATGATGCGCATGTTGTGAGAAAAAAGCGAGGACTTGTATGTGACTATGACACTGCATTGCTTTGGGTGACATGTCAAACATATCTTATATCATGTGGCTGGCACAAATGGTGGTGTGTGATCATTACGTCCTCTGCTTATATTCACAACAAAAATTTCTGAGCACTAAATTGTAATAATTGCAGTAGAGTGTGCAGGTTTCTCTAAGACAATCTATGCAAAAACTACAAGTGTCTTAAAATGGTGTTTCTGCAAAACTTACAGGCACTTTGTCACACACCTAGCCAGAAACAAAAAAGATGTCAGATATGTTTTATGCCAGTTTTCACAATTGTGCTCTCTGAATATTTAACAGGAATACCGAATCTCCCAAGAGAAACGGAACACATTAAAGTACATACAACAGACTTGGACCAAGTGTCTCTCCCTAGAAAATAAACCCCTTAAAATTTCACCAAAAGCTGCCAAACTCACAACATGAAGGTTTGTACTTCTTCACCGCTTCTGCATGGGGTTGTGTCTTGATATTCAAGACATCTTGGAAGGCATCCTTCACCTCAGGATCCGCAGAGTTCATTATCTCCTCCACTGCCTGAAGATTGGGACCATTCAAAATGTAACTCTCTAACAGCTTAGCTCCTGAAAATGAAAGCAATCAGAGTAAGAAAAAGAAGTTAGACTACAATAAGATGCCACAGATAGCATTGGGCTTGACTGATAGGATGGGGTTTTGGACATTACAACTCACCACACAATTTGAATGGTGACAATCTTGTCTCCTTAACAGCTGAAGTGGTCGTTAAGTTGTGAAGCATCATTAATAAGGGTATAAAGTAATGTACTACTTCATTTCCAAATACATGTAGTACTTTTGGCATTCTTACTAGGAGATTCAGCACAAAAAGCTTATCGGAATGCACACTCCTATTGTGAGATAAATGTGTGCTCATTGGGGTGCTTTACATCTGTGAATTTTTTTTTCATGAAATGGTGCAGCATACTAGACTAGACTTTGTATCAGTCCAGCCTATTGCAGGTTACTTCCTTTACTCAATGCTGTATCCATTACGTATACTCCTGAGTAGAGAAAGACATCAGTAAAAGTAAAGTGGCTTGCTGCTCGGGAACACATCAGCTGTATTCAAACCTATGATGTTCAAATTATGAATTATCCACCCAAACTACATGAAGATGGTAAGCCCAATAATCACATGACTATTATTACCTCACAGTCAGACTGAGCCAATCAAAATGGCCCTCTCTGTTCTTGAGATAAAACAATGTTTATAACTAGAGCAAGTAAATTCTGCAATATCAAATTGGACTTTTTGTACCCACCAGCCAAGGTAAACTTGACAGCAATATCATTGTCCTGAGTGACCCTTGTGACAGCCTCTACACACTCCATCAGCTTTGGGTCCCCAGCGTAGAGTGCCACCAATGGACCCAGCTTGCTCACTCCATCCATCTGTGAGAAAAAAATCACACAACAATATGGCACATTGTTACCAATATCATAGTTTGTTGGATTGTATAAAGCAGATGTATCACTTTCAATTCCACTTCACTCTAGTCCAACATGGATGAGCAGCTGGAAGAGCCGTTTTAAAAAGTCTCCAAACAAAACCAAATGCAACATCTCACATTTAAGAGCAGAATCAAATATCAATTCTTCATTACATAGGTAATTATTTTTTATTGATATTCTATCATTAAGTGGTAACATAGTAACGTGAAGACCCAGACAAAAAACATAAAAGACACAATGCAGGCATCTAAAGTATGTTCATGTAATGTACATGTAAGAAACTACAACTGTGGTGCCAGTAATGGAGTTACACAAAGCGGATAACAAAAATACACGAACTGCAAATGGTGTAATGCAACCCTTTCAATGTTGACAAATTACATATAGGATATGCCTCTATCCAGAATCAAATTACAAAATGTTCATCTTATTAAAACACATACATGTATAGGTAATGCCTAACTTGATATTTATGCATTTTAAAGCCATGCTAACCACAAAACAGCTGTTAAGTTCAGTGCATGCTCTTCCAAGGAATCGCCCATGCTGTGCACATATATATCACATCTTCAAATACATACACAACTCTGTTACTTTTCAATCAATTGGTGAAGTAGGAAGCAGTAATGCCTGTGTGTTTCTGTCTAACCGACCCATCTCCTAGGGTTTGCATTGTCACCCCCCTTGGAACAGCATTCAGAGAAGCGCTGTGAGAGTGTCTGGCAGACTGCTGGGCCGAACAGACACAAATGAACAGGCACCGGACTACATGCCAGGAGGACGACAATACCTGGCTTTTTTAAAGTGATGGCCAAATGGGGAATCCTTATGCATGACTGACAGGATATCTGAAATTAATGGACCGTATACACAGAGGAAAAAACTCAGTGAACAGCAATGCTACAATTGTACTGGAAGCCAATGTATCCAAGTGTATTGGCATTGTATGAAACACTGGAACTTTCTTTCAAAGAGGATGAATTTAACAGCTACACCACAGTTTCACAAACAAGCACAAAGCATTCGTCTCCAAACTATTTTCACAGGAAAAACACAATGACTTTAAAAAAAAATTGATCTGGTAAATAATCCTTCCATTCCCATGGTGCCAGGGAAGTTTCAAGACCTCATAAGGACAACCTGTCTTTATCATTATTCAACGGTCATCTCCATTTCCCCATCAGGAATACACTGTGAGTAAATCTCTTCTTGCATGTCATGTCCGTCCACCTGCTGAGCCAGGCCATTCCTATTTTAATTACCATGCCAAGTGCCTGTATTTTCAGAAGGCCAGTGACTTCCAGGATAATTGGGAGACAATGGGTCATGCCAAAGAGGGCCTGAACGTAAACAGTTAAAAGAATAGGTTGAACTACCCCTAAGTACATGTACTGGTGTCATGTTACATTTGACTGTAGAATGCACTGTAATCTTAGTCACTTTATTGTTTAGGATAAATGTAGTTTGAAATTTGGAACAAAATTATCCAGACGTTGTGAGATTTGTGGTTCATGAGATGAGATGGACAAGTCCTTTGTATGAGAATCAAATTTGGAAAATTACCGTACATGTGCGTGTACGTAGGCCCTATGCAAATGTCTGGCAGTTTAACCTCTTATGAAAGCCTCAGTCATGTCTGAATATATATGTGCAACCACTACCAACAATTCCTTAACTGCAATTATATCAGAAAAATTATGAATGAGAAATCCTAATATCCCTAGATTTTCTTTGAAACTAAAACCAACAGAAGTGATTGTTTCCAAACTACACGGCTACAGATTTCTTAACTTGATTTGACTCAAAATACAGCAGTGCTGTATGAGGTAAAATATGGAAGAAAAAGAACCTGATGGTCTGACCTTTCTAAAGGGGATTAAGTATAGAGAAAAATACTGCTTATGATTTCTATCTCTCAGTCTCAAGAATGGCATCCCTGTTTCATCACAACTCTAGGTCATCAAAGGTTTAATAACTGCCCCTAGACTAAATCTATATCAGTGACCGGAGATAATTTGGTAATCACACAAGGAATTTGAATGCCTGGAGTTACTGCCATTCCGATTTCAAGATTCAAATACCAAGATTGAACACAGACTAGGGACGAAAAGCCATTTGAACCTTTGGCCATACTGGTACTATGTACACTGCAATCAGCTAACCTGTAAAACTTGGTGCCATGAGGTGTATTGGAACCTGAACTACAAATTTTGTTGGGTTTAATCCTAGGCCCCAAGCTGCACTGCTGTTTTCTCACAGGATAATTTCTGTAAATAACAGCTGGCACCTGGGCTTGTGTGAATTCTGAGCACCTGGGAGGAGCTTAGGGGAAATCATAGAATGTGAAAATACCGTTACGGGGCAAAAATATGACGATTACAAAAAAGGCGCTACTTCATGTAAAGTAATCAAAACTATGTATTCTGTTTGTCAAAAATAGCCTTTCCTGCCTTAAAACTGTTGCACTTTGTCCAGAATGTACAGATGCTGCATTGTATTCTAAATTAAGTTTGATAGTTTTATTACCTGACTACATCATGAATTTGGTGCCTGCTTTCTCAAAGATGTATCGTGGTGATTAAAAATTCACAAACAAAACAAGAACATACAGGTAGTTAGCAGTGCAGCACCCAGTCAAGATTCGTTCAAGCTCCAATTGTAAATTTTTTTGCAATAAGAACATGTACACAGGAACATGTAGGTACATGAGTGCAAAAACACAGAAAGAACTGTGCAGATGTGATTATGCATTTCTAGTACACATTCTCAATTCTATACAGCATTCTCCTTTATTTCCTCTCATTCCTAACCCCAATCTCTCTTCAATTTGCATATTTCATCCCATAAGCTGCCCAAGAAGAGCATTTCACAATGTTCCATGAGTACCATTCAAGTGGCACCAAAGAGCAAGGAGGATGATAAACAGGAAATCATAAGAGCTGGACAACAGGTCTACCAGTGCTGCTGAATGCTTGGTATTACTCATTCAATGTCAGAGAATATTTGCAGTTACTGAATGACTTAAGGCTAACTTCTGGCAGTTTTAAGTGCTGTCTTGTGACAAAATGAGACTACATGTACATGTAAGACTGGGTAATGTTGCTGAGGGTCATTTTAAATTTGCGGTCAACAGGACTTACGTAAATTTAGATTTGAAAAGATTTCTTACATAGCGTTAAAAAACACTCTGCCGCAATTGGCATTTTGGGGTTACATTTGTTGAATTATTAGGATCATGTGACCCTAGAAGGCGTCTGTATGTCCCTAGTAGCAGTTTACAGCACTTTCCCCTCATGGTACCGGTAATTAGAGAAGAGGCACTCCAACATTAACCAAAGTTCCTGCCTCCATCCTTCCTACACACTACTGTACTATCCATGGCTGGCCAATTTATTACCAAGTCCAGTTCAATGTACCTTTAACGAATCTTGACATTAGCCTACTTAGGCCCCTATTCCTTCTAAAATGGTGTGAAAATTACAAGTGATCTTTCAGAGCACTCCCCCCTTAAATGCTGGAATATGGCTACGTTCCAATTACAAGGCAGTGGCAGGAATAATGCAGGGATACATATATATGAAACTAGACAAGCCCCTAGCTACAATGTACACATACATGTATGTACATGTAGCTGCTTCATCCATATCTCATACTCCAGAGTTCTTTCCATCCATACATGTATGCAGCCCAGTAATTCGGACAAGGCCTGAGACTAGCCAAGGCTCAGGGTCAAGGGACTTTTGGCTGTCTTTTGAGAAGATAATGTTCTAATTTTATCTGACCTCATTCAAAATTCCAACCAGATGTTGTAGGTACTTGCATGGACCATTACCTCATCCCTTTTGGCTGAACTATTAGTCAGATGTCAATGACACTAATGACACCTCAGCGGGCCATTTGCTATCCTTCCTGTCACCCTTTGTGGCACATTGTCATTACAGGCAGGGATTATGCACCCTAATTTCCAGCACTATGGATGAAACTACTGGACCATGATCCGTCAAGATGTTTAAATTGCTCTCCGTCAAAGATGTGAGGTCTATGGCATGCAGGTACACATTCTGAGTTCAGGGAAACTGTACTTTATCATCGTTGGTTTTCACAAAATGACAAAGTGTGGTGAGGAGAGGAGTGGGAAATTAGTTTCTCAGTTCAAACGGTGATGGCATGTAGAAGTGCTACACATTTCATCGTTAAGGAAACAAGCGTAGCACTGACAAGATGTACATGTATCAAAGAAGAGATTCTTGCTAGGACAAGCTACTGGTACAATGGCTGAGGGCACTCAGGCCAACTCAAAACACTGCACAGCAGAATTACATTTATTTCATTACAGGGAAAACAAGGAATACGGAAATGACAGACCCTTCTTTGACTAGATTTTCCTGCATTGTCGTGGTTTTACTCTCATTTCAAAGCAGCATACATGTATATGTACCATATACATGTACACATGTACATACTGCTTCTTTGATCTTGTTCACTTACATCTCTGCTTTCTGTGTCCCCAGTTTTCTCCTTGTTCTCTTTGTAGTTGGCCAAGAAGGCTATGAGAGAGTGAGAGATCCATGGTCCCTTGATTGGTCTCGGGCCTGAGTGGTCAATCTCATAAGCAGTGCCAGGGCCAAAGGTGGCCTTCAGAATGGCCTTGTAGCTCTCCACATTCAAGCCTGCAGAGAGATGAGGAGTGGATGGAAGGAGAAATCAATGGGGTAAATAAGAGGATTTAATACAGGATGTCAAAAGGCATTATACATGTAGGTAGTGTCAACTACCAACAGCCTACAGCTTGTCTGGCATACGACTGTAAGCTATCAGAAGTGTAGGTCTGGTAACATTTGTGAGAAGGCACATCAGGGATGCACACATTTTTACAAGGGGGCGCTGAAAACAAAATAACCTTGGGCTGTACCTTATATTGGTTGTGTACATGTACATTTCAAAATTTCAGGGGGGGAGGGGGGCACGGCTGTCTCCAAACTATGCACTCAGTCTACACATTACTTGTCATGAAACAAAATACCAGGTAGCATACATTTCCTATCCTTTTTGTCACATTCATTATTGAATCTTGTACAGTCAATTATTATACAGGAATCAAATGACACTTTTTGTCACATTCATTATTGAATCTTGTACAGTCAATTATTACGCAGGAATCAAATGACAAATTCTTTGCACTTTCAAGAGCTGTGGTACCCAGCTTTAAAATAGCAATGAATGGACTCTCTGTCTCATTCCTGCAAAATGTTCAAAAACTACTGAGTAGATTTTGAAATTGAATTTTAAAAATGTCGTCTGTATGCATTGTACATGTTACGTACTGCGACATAACATACATGTACTGTACAGAAAGTATGAGAATTACATGTTTTACCAAAGGATACGGTATTTTTTTAAATGAAAACAACTTTTTATTTTCTGCAAGCCAATCCCATTTGCAGGTGTGAATAGGATTATGTGATGATGGTACAGCGTGACCAACGTGCCTTTGGTGAGGTCAGATACTGCTAGAGAGTCAGGTATACTCACGTCACATAGCAACGGATGCTTAGTCACACTCGAGTAACCTCATCGGCTTGTGCTTTCTAGGGATCGAATCCACTTGGTAAAATAACACTGCTTTATTTTAATCCCATGAAGCACATTAAATTTATCAAGGAGTGGGTGTTACCTGAGACACAGAGTGCCAAATACATGTACTGCACCGTATATTTCTACATGAATGAAAAATGAAGAACTTTGAAGACAGTCAAGCTGTGTATATTTTCCTGTGGGCAAGTTGCTTAGAAGAATGTTAAGGGAATGATTTTTCTACATGTAGATACAGGATTGAGTATCATTTTATGTTTTACAAGCACCTTGAAGAAAGGACAGGTCTACCAGTTCTCAAATACCTAAATCTGTTCATGGAACACAAATCTGAAGTTAGTTTAAAATGGTTGGACATATCATGTACATGTGCATGTACACGTATCCTGAGCAGTTGCTGTATGAAGCTAGAAAAGAAAAATTAATCCACATTCCAATACAAGTTGAAAATTCACGGCCCAACAGACAACATTTCATTTCTGTCAGGCCAACATTGGATTCCCCATCTCTCTAGCAGTTGCTGTAGTAATGAACACCCAATGTCACTACCGGGGAAGCACTGATGCGGATGCAGACACACACCACACACTCTCACTCACGGCACTGTCAGTGTCACTGAAGCTACTTGCGTCATTCTTCACTTGTGAATCATCTTCATCCTTCCTGCTCCAAGAGGATGCTGGGCTGGTACTTTCTTCTATCAATCTTGACCATCCCGTGTCAAACAGCAAGACGTCCAACATGATTTGGGATTTTGAGGGGGAAAGATGATGACTTTGGGTATTTCGGCATGGACCACGATTGAAAGGTATGTTAATTGAAATATAGTAACAGGATCCTTCATTTTCACAAAAAAATACATAAATGTGCAGAAATAACAATCTGGATGCAACTGATGGGACTGTACCCGAAATCAGTCCCCTTTAGGTTTTGTCTACTCAAGCTGTGTGAACAAACCTGTGGGATCACACTGAATACAGAGTACTGTAAGGCATGTCACACGTACATGTACGTACAGTTATCAATATGCTCCATTTTAAAGTAACTGTTTTTTTACAAGTGTCTACAGTTGCATGTCAGACTTCTATGATCATACATGTACGTATGTAATGATCTTTCTCTTTCATTTATCCTGACCTTTTCCTTTTTCAAAGTTATTGTTTTGATTCCAACTGGTTAGGTAAAAGTGATTTAACACGTTTTTTATAAGTTATACATGTAATTGAAAATTGTATGATTTTTAAACGATAGCCGGAATAGAAAAGTTGTTTTAATTAATAAATGTGAAAAAAAAAATTCCCCCGAAAATTTGGCAAAACCACCTTGCCCCGAGAGGTATCCCATTAACATAGAAAATATGCATATCTGTGACATACACTCAAGAGGACATCGTCACGGCTGCTAGTGCATCAATGCTTGTCTTGAGTGAGTTTGGAAAATTCAATCCGATTTTGGGTTGTTTTAGAGATCATGCTGACCAGATGTATTGCCACAGGCAGCAACAACACCTGCATGTATAAAGATGGGACAAACCTGCATAACTTTCCAACCAAAGCGAAATTTAGACAGATTTGGACATCAAAAGTCAGACTGACCAGAGTAAAATGGTCAAGACTGAGAGCAAGCTCCAAACTGTGCAGTGAGCATTTAAAGCCACAGTATTTTCTTCCAAAGTTGTACTACTTGTACTACTACTCAGGATTAAATTGAAATGATTGTTGAAGTCAGACGCCGCGCCCACAATCTTATGGAAATCAAAGAAAACCCATGAACAAAGATGAAAGGTAAAAAATGCTTCCAAATCGGCCCGTGCTACATGTATTTCACTCAACATACTCGCGGCTATGGGTTGTGGTGCTGCACTGTACATGTATACCACAACACTTTATGCAAAACGGTGGCTATACCGCGCATGCACGTGCTTTTATTGTGCGTATGGGCACTGTGTGTACATGGACATGTACTTTACATCCACATGTACAGTATGTATTTTACATTTAAACATTCTGCAGGAACTTTCAGTGCGTTCCCACTTGAATTGGGAAAAGGTGGATCTTGATCCAGCATTTTGGTGTGATCGTTATCTTACCGCAACGAAACCGCAAGTTGCGTTCCCACTAGCTTGATCCCCCTTTTCGGACGGAAATGTCGAGCCTGAAAGGTCACTGAGTTCGGTATTGCACATGTGCTAGCTATCTGAGCAAGCGCTCTGTGGCAGTGTGGCACACTGGGGCGGCATGCCTGTGACACTACGGTGTTTTGGGTGCGGAATTCTACTGATGTGACAACCTTGAATCGGACCGAACGTTAAGCCTAGTACGTTGTCTCTTCAAACTTTGCTTCCGTTTTTGATACTCTGTCACACGCTGCGGGCTATACGCTAACACGCAATTAGTTTTTGATGGAAAGCTAGTGAAATTACAAAACGAAAAAGGTTAAGAAACGGACGAATGCACAATGAAAATTGTGAAAGGGCAAGGCACACATCGCGGTATGCATGCATTGCGCATGCTTGGTGACACATTTTCCTAGCTCATAGTTCAGCAGTTGTTTATTGTGCACGTTAAAAATTTCACATGAGCTACACGCCAAAAAACGTATTTCTTTGTTCATCAGACCGCAAAAGTTTCGTGCCACTCATGCACGGACGGATGTTGACAGGTTAAATTGCTGGATCAGATCCACCTTTTGTGTTCCCATCTGATCGTGATCCACCAATTGGGAGATCTGTATCCGGCTCCAGAGGAGGGTCAAGAAAGGTGGATCTGATCCTGATCCACCTTATAACGGTTAGTGTTTCCACTACACACAATTGCTGGATCTGATCCACCAATTGGGGGATCTGTATCCTGCTCCAGAGGAGGGTCAAGAAAGGTGGATCTGATCCTGATCCACCTTATAACGGTTAGTGTTTCCACNATCAAGACGGAACGGGTTGATAATGTCCCGTTTGTTCCAGATGTACATGTACCAAAAGGGTGCGCGACTATAATCGTGGGTTCTCAAATGTCTGTCACAAATAACGCCATCATTTGTCAGGATAGCAACATTCATTTGAGAGGTCAGCAAAACTAACTACATCAAAGGGAATTTTATTCCACTTTCACATCCTCTATCATGTTACTAGCATACTAATGAACATTTTAAACAATTAACAGTTTGTCCACGGAGGTCTTCATAGCCCATTTAATGCTGGCATGCAGCTTGCACTTTGACAAAAAACAAGGGACTCCAATCTTTACATGACTTTGTACAGTGTTTTTCAATTTTTCAATGAGGAAATCAGCTGATCCAAGGAAAAGTTGTATGCCTGTTAATAACTTTAAATACAGGAATTTTTGCTAAAATAAATGTATGTCCCACTCAAATGTTCAGGCTAACTGGTTAAGCTACCCCCCCCCATTAGAGTCTTGTTATAAATGCTGGATCCTCCAACTGATATTGTAATTGAGGAAAAGCAATCAATTTGGGATTAAGTTTTGAGTCACAAACCCCAACACAGTACCATCCTTCACTTGTTCAAGAACTATTTGCATCCATCAATCATTCTTGAATGACTTTTTGGAATCCAAGTCGCCTGTAATTCCTGCTGACTTGATTTGTTCAAACTGACAATAACTGCCAGAAACACAAGAGAAAATAATGCATGCATAGAGGGAAACAGCTATAAAAATCATAGTTGACAAAAAAATTAGTCTTAAATTTCTCTGAGTTCCAACTTTGGTACCTTGACTCCATCAAACCTAGACATACCCTTGGCAGCAGTTCCACTGATCAGTTGATCTGATTGATATGACTGAAATTTAATCATCTCTTCTCCCTGAGGGCTCAGATACATTTTCCAGTGATTTCAATGAATATTTCAAGTCAGTTGACATTTAGAATGTCAGCTCTGAGATCCCTGGTTAAACGGATGCCGTGCAAGCCTAATGTGCACAGGTAAAAATGTTAATATTCAACTACACGTACTTTCATATACATGGATTCTTAACTGCCCACAGCAGTGCACTGCATTAGTTTTTATCTTTCAGCTAATAGCATTGGTGAGAGTGTACTGTGGAGCTAAATATAGACGTACACACATGTACATTGTCCATGTACATGTGTGGACGTGTCACACAGGTGGGCTACAGTACATGTACAAAAATGTACATGCAACATATAGAGTATCAAATAAAATACATGTACCGGTGTATACATGTACAATGATCCTGTAGAAAAAATGTATCCCTACAATGTTATCACTTTGATCTGTAATTCATGTTGGCCAGATTATAAAAAAAATTTTTAAATTGTGAACACACACAAAAAAAGATTTCTTGAAAAATTATGAGATGTATGTACATGTAGGCCTTTTAATATACAAGTCACTCTTCCAAATGCGCCTTTACAGAGAGTCACAATATTCTTTTGTTCATCCTGTCACAATCACAACAAAAGCTTGTATTTACAATACATGTAATTAGCTTTGTGACCACGAAGTGACCATGACTAACTCAAGGTACAATCCTGTCGATAAAATTGTCTCTAGGAAATCAATAAAACACTGCTTACATTGCATATGTAAAGCGATAAAACTGTGTCCTTCTGCCATATCCCCTGAGTGGTACATCTAATGACTCCCCAAAGCGATGATTTAATGTAAAGATCAATAATATTAACAGCACGAAACTAATTAATCCAAAGGGTCCATCTGAAGAGCACAGGGCCTGAACATCCTGCTGCAAATGTATACTCATAAGCTGAAAAGATGGGTGTGTATGAAACATCAGAAGCCAACACCAACAAAGTTGGTGTACCAAGTTTACTGAATCTAAATCATGATGTTTGAAATGCTTTCTGGAATTAACAGTACACACAGCTAGTGAATTAGCCTGAATTGAGATCAACAGCAGACCAATGGAAAATATTTGTTAACGATTCTTACATTCCAGGCGCAAACCGTGGACAGCAGCATCGCCCGATGACTGAAGTATATTTAGCCACAGGGTCAACGGATGGGCAAATTTAGAGAGCGCCCGAGACGAGCAATATTGTATTACATGTCTACATCAGCAAAAGGACTTTATATAAACAGTCAAGCACGACAGTCAGTGGACAGAGTCAAATAGGGCCTTAGATGAATCCTAATTCCAACAGGGAAGAACAACTACTCAATGAAAGGCATTCATTCATTTCTTGTCATTTTTCTTTAGTGATTCTCTAAAAGCTAACAGCAACTATGCAAGAATATAGGACAGCTACCGGTAGATTTACATGTAGGAACAAATTTAATTGAAAGAATTGCATAAGTTAAAGTGGTACGTGTATGGTGCTGGCTCATCACATATACACGTACCAAGTTTACAAGTTTATGCATTTATAATATGCAGGCCTACAGTATACATCCTACTCTGAGGAAGACAGTATGTGACACACATGACATTCTTTTAGAGGAACACTTCCCAGTACTGTTTAAAAACCTGGGTTTTGGGATTAAACACTTGTCCAATTGGAATTGAGACTTTGAGAATGGTTTGACATTTCTTGGTTTCATTCAGAAGATACTTATTGGCAAGCCCCCTTTAAGCTCTCCTTCAAATCTTCTATCTTCTCCCTGTTTATCTCAACCAACTACCCTTTGGCTCCTCAGCAACAACCCCGTCAAATGTCTTCCCTCTGGGCAATATCATATTAACTAGCCAATATAATCTTTCAAACCTGAACGTATAACATCCCAACCCTGAACACTCAAACCATTCCGAAGAAAAAGAAAAACATCCATCCATTAAGTCGCAACTTGTATGCCCTAGAACACATTTCAGACCTTAAAAAGGTCTCCTAAAGAGGGAGTAAGGATTTAGACAGTCTACGCATGCCACATTAATGGATCCTACATCTCTGGGGCAAATAACAATCAATTTCTGGTGGGACAACTCTGATACCTGAAACGTTCACAGTCTCCAAAGTTCTTAAGTCTCTTTTTTTTTTACCTCTCTCCCTTAACTCTTCTTAATTTTCCTTTATGTGATTCATTTTCCGACGAGGAATCTGTCTCCTCGGGTGTCTATATGATAAAACTGCTTTATATTCATGGAGTGGAACGTAGCGTGTCGTGATGTATTTAGTGGCAGGGTAATAGGACAGGCCCAACTGCTGTCACACCCTGAGTGTGCAGCGTGCACTAAAGTGGGTCCGGGTGATCAATATTTGCTGGCAATGTTTAGACTAACAGCACTACATTTATAACGAGCTGTGCTGCAAACCACTGCAGTGATAGGGAATCCTGGAATTTAAATGATGTCTCTGTAGGAGCACTAGAATGGACTCATTTTTATTTGTCCTTTATCATGCTGTTAAGCATTAGGAAAGATATTCGTTCCAATGAGATCAGCTCACCAATTGGGGGAAGGTAACCAGCATTAACTATAAACTTAACTTTATGTGTAGGCTCACATACAGTACATATACATGTATGTACCAGTGTGTGAAAGAAATAAATATCTTATTGACTTTTCACTCTAAATGATACATCTTCAAAAGAATTTCTGATCATATTACTTCCAGAAAAACTCCTATTGAAAATGCTTCATCTCAATGAACTGTGAATTGCACCTGTACATGTTTACAGGTATGTCTTTGGCTTTGACTGGTACATGTACAAGTATTTAGCACACTGTTGGTAAATTCCTACCTTTGTTCTCCACCAAGGACTTGAGCATGACATAACACTGGTCACCATATATACTCTGGGATCCGGTGGGAATTTTGTAGAAAGGAGACTGCCCTTCTGGGATGAATTCTGGCTTGTCATGTTTGGCTAGGACGGCAGCAAGGTCAGCTGGATTGTAGATCCAGTGGATAGGAACGCCTGCAGAGATGAATGGAAGAACAAACAGAAAGGAACTTACAATTACTTCATTACAATGAATCGCACCTCCAAACACCCTGCATACTTCAAATAAATGTACATGTAAACCTGCTAACTAATAAAATCAAACGGCGAGAACTACTTTTTTCCCCCCATGCTCAAATCAACAAACTTAAATTGAGGTCAACCTAAACAGCATAGTTGACTTTACAGCACCACAGTCAAGCATGCAAATACCACAATAATTTGTTAAAAGTTTAATTTGTTTGATCTATCTCGGATTCAACTAGCGGGTAGGTTAAGCGACAAATTACAATCACGCAAAAACTGTACAAACTGACAAGATGTCAAGTTTTGCATAAAAGTCTGCAGTGTCCAATTTGACAGGTACTGCACCATGAGTACATCTAACCTGTCCATTCCTGAACATTGAGACGTGTTTATACTGACCATATAAGTGTACTGTACAAAATTGAGTTTTCAACCATGCCACTGTAAAGCAAGAACATTTTGACATTGCTAAATATTAAACTTCCAAGAGTCAAGCCAATTAAGATTACCCCAGCTTTTGTGCTCAACTGAGCCAATGACCAACCGCACAACATTGGCTCTCTCAACATTTCCAGGAGGAAGTTTCTTTGAATGGATTGGGACTACAGCATTGGTTCATGTTAATTTACTGGGCTGAGCTCAACTGAAGAGTAATTCTTTGCCCAAGCCTGGGCAGAGACAGGATGTGCAAACAGCTGTACCAATGCCCAGTCAAATAATCTGTCTGCCTGGATGGAGTCTTGTGGTCCAGAATCTGAAGTAGTGTAGACAGAGGAAATATTGATACAGGGGGATGCATGCAGTGCAATTTGTTATAGTGTCCATGCAGTTGTGTGCGTGTTAATTTTGGGTGGCTACGTGTATGGATTGGCTATTCAGTGATGTCATGACCCTAAAATAACAACTAATTTCTTGTCAACATTCTACCTACTGAGTTGTCCCGTCTGTAATTTATTCCCACATACTCTCATATCATGTACATCCCGTACATGTAGTTTCAACTAATAAACATTTACTCAACAATTAGTACCACACAAGTAAGTGTGTACTGCTCTGTGCTGATTTTCACTAGTTCAGAAGTGTATAAATTATTATTATTTTTGTTAATATATGCAGTTGTAATACTACATGTATGTTTCAATAAGTTCAACTGAACTGAGATGGGAATGAAGCGGAAAATTGGCAGTAGAAGAGTAAAGGATAGAGCTACGGGTACTGGGCCCCCTCCCCCTTCTTAGTGTCTGAATATATCCCAACAATAATTTCATTACAATGGCCCCACCCCACAAAAAGGATAGCAAAAAGTGGTGTATGTAGTATTACTTGTGTCAGTACCGGTAGCTCTTACTAATAATAGTTGTATAGAGAAAATAAACTGGCTCAGTCAAAGTGATATGGGTAATTCCAGAAATTAGGGGTCCAAAAGTCTGACATTTTTGTGTCCCTGTTACATCTGACCTTTGTTATTTGACATGGAAATATCACCAGAATTGATTTCAAACTATTACAATTTGTTGGGCAGGTAATTTGCATTAATTCATCACTCTTGGAAATGTGTTCTGAACTCACAAAATCATACGCCTAATGTGACAGGGACATGAAAAAAAAAGGACCCCTAATTTCTGAAATTACCCATATGTGTACATGCACTGATTCTTCATTCTTTATCCACATATGAACTCACAAAAATCCTACCGGTATATGTAGAAATCTAGTAACACAAAGTTCAGAATGTCTGAACAGAGCAATACCCCAAGGATTAATCTTGAACAGTGTAACAAGCAAGTGTAAATTCCTAATGAATTTTTTTCTCTGAAATTAAGTTAAGCAATATTGGGCATTTGTCGGTGAGGCGGCTGATAATTATATTTGTTACAGATATGAGTAATGGGATCAGCTGCAGTGAAGCAAAAATGAAGGGTTGATGAAATGCAGGGCTTGGTGAGTTGGGGAAGGAAAGAAAAGGGTACGGAAAACAAGAGCTGGCTTCCTTTACAAATACACTGTATAATATACCTCTAACTTGGGGGGTTTAAGTTAGTCTTACATACACTTACTGGTACGTTGGTACGTACCAGACCAAAATGGAAATGACAGAATTACAATTATCAAAACTTCTACAACAGTGACAAGATATGATTTTGTGAATGTGTAAAGTACAGTAGTACTGTATGTCAGGAGACAGCACCGAGATGAATCTCTTAGGTCAGAAAAAGAGGAAACTTCCTAATTGCACAAGACTTTGAAGGGTGCTTTTTAATTTATACTGACAAATCAGTTGCCAAGAAACTGCAGACATTAGCTGAAGTGAGGGGAAGTCATGTTTGATAAACATACATAGACACTTTGCTTACTTCCCCTTCTATACAATGTCACACTTCTTAAAAATGAAGCCCCCTGCATCTGCCATTTTACCCTGCCACCTGGGAAATCTGGCATCATGACAATTTCTGGGATTAAAATGATACCAACAACAATGTCATCAGCATGATCAAGTACTCCTTGAGAAATGAATGTTTTCAAAACAGTTCACTGTTTGCATAAAGTCTGGAAGTAGCGTAAACAGAGCAGCTCATCTCAGATAAAGGTGGCATTGCACTTTTGGAAGGAGGCTGCAACAAACTGTCAAAATGTTACATTTGTTTATTTTTGCAAGGTTGCGTTACCTGCACTTGGAAATCTATTTTTTAACCTTCATTCAATCCCTCTCAATTTTTCCCATGTACACGTATGTAGCTAAAGCACAAGACTTATAAGAATATAAACCACATTTTCACTGAATTCATATTTAGATTATGACTGTTTTAAATTTCATTTGTAATTTTAAAACAATTTAAAACAATAACCATTCAGCAGTAGAAAAAAGAAGAGTTTTTAATTGAAGGATAATCTCAAAATTTCATTTTTCTGATCAGGATTCGCACAAGAATACCATATGCCTAACTACATGTATACTGAACCAGTCCCACATGGGCCATCATACACGTGTCCACTGTAAATCAACCATATGCATAAATTGCAGAGTTTAATTATTGGCCCTGGAAACAAAAGGTCCATGCTGTAATCGTCTCAATGAATCAAGCTAGCAACTTGATGAATACAAATCAAACAGGAGCTTGACTGTCAACTCCCTGAGCCAAACAAACAGGTTGAGAAAGATTTCATCGGTCCATCCTAATAAAACTCACAATCTGTGTCAGGATCGTGCAAACCAGATTACTGTCAGATATTTCAAAGGAAAAATAATAATAAAATGCCTCATGATGAAACAGATTTCACAAAGTCACAGGCGTGAAACAAGGTTTTCTCTGGCTGGCCAGTGGGCCGTCGCACCGAGTCAAGTTTATCGATGACTCATCTCGTCTTTCTCCTGTACCTCCTTTGGCGAAAGGGCACATGGGTGAATTTACGATGCGAGATAAATTTTGTCGCCGATCGGGCTAGGAGCTTGGAATGGAGATCATTGGCGGGGGGGGGAGGTAACAGACAGGGGAGCATTAATCGGAAGAAAATAAACAGGATTGGGGTTAGGGGAGATGAGCCAAAAGGACAGATGTAGCTCGAGTCTGAGATTGGAATGGGGAGAGGTGCACAAAATGTCACAAGAGTTAATTATTAATTTACGACACTGGAGGCGTTTACCTCCCCAGTGGGAACGTGAATTTGAGGCAGCCAAAAGTATCAAGATTGTTGATTGGAAAAGGAAGCTGTGACGGTCTACGTACAATAATACATCAAATAGGCTAATAATTACAAGCAGACACAAGAGAGGAAAATTTGACACAGTCCAAAGGCTGAATAAAATACTAGATGGATAAATTAGTGGGCAAGGTGAAATTTATTTGTTCTTTTCTACATACACAATCAAATTATGAACTGGCAAATGCAGGCATACATGTAGGCTAGAAGAAATCTGAAGCAGGGGAGGACAACTTGAATGAACCAATCATCTTTAATCTTCTGTGCACGCATTAGTCAAGGCTCCCCTCCTGGTGAACTTGGAACAGTCTGAAGTGAAGCATTCCCTGCACAACAAAATCACAGACTTGCCTAGCCCTTGATTTACTTTGGGAATTGTAGAGGCTTAAAGTCGTCAACCTCAACAAACTGTAAGCCCTGGACTTTAAAAATGGAGTCCCTGGAATTCCTGTTCCTGACAAGATGCTGGCTATTTTCAGACTGAAATGGTGTTACACGGATCACTTGCAACCCTAATCAGGTAGATTCCTCCCTCTTGTTATTATTCATTAACTTTCCCTTATAGAGATATTCCTCAAAATTCTATTTCTGCATTAATTACATACATGTACATGTACATACTAAAATGTGCTGTGCACACGACTACCTTTTTTCCTTTTAAAATTGTTTCCATCACCAGTCTGTAGTATGCTTTTGTTGGAATAGTTTCATTCATAAGCTCTTGGACATGCTCAGTATTTATCATCATCTCCTCCTGTTTTCGTGCGAGTGGTTTATATACAGCCTCCACAGTCTGTATGCAAACTACTCATTTCCTTTGCACCAACTCAAAGGCAACCCAATTCTCCTTCAACAGTCAGGAGGCCTTGCAATTATTCTGCAAGGCACCCACCAATCTGCCAAATTTAACAGTAATTTCCATAGAGGGGGTTGTTGAGGTGGGTGGGTGTGAAAATTATCACACTGCCTCACAATGGTAACAACCAGAGGGGGTGTTTGCTAATGATCATAATGAATGTAATGATCACTGGGGGGGGGTGTAACTCAATTGGGTTAGTGTACAAGAGGTGTGTGTGTTACCATGGAGGAAGAACAAAGTGCAGCTGGTTAAAGAACAGTGAAAGTACAGCCGACATTCAAAGCAAAATGGGAAGTCCCACCCATAGCTGACTCCTCTTCTCTCAAGGAGGCAAAAAGTAAACATGCTGTTGCCACAGGGAAGTATGCTTAAAAAAATGATGTGCTTACGA